TTGATTTGTTCTTTTCTGATGTTCTATTCTATTACATTCTGTTTGTTAATTTGTTCTATTCTATTCTCTTTTCCTGGAAGACTCCAGAGTTGTCACATAATTTGTTTGTTTTTCTTCCAGTGATGAGAATCGCAGCTTTGCCCCATTCCCCTTCTTTGTCTGTAGGTCTGAGTGCTCTAAACCCTCTCCTTCTTTCCCAGTTGCCTCAGTCTGGTACACATTTACAATTTCTTTTCATCCCAACTTGTTATTCTTGCTCAATATTTGCAGCAGCCAAAACGCCTCAGCACAGCACATTTTAACATGGCCTGGATGTGGTTGATCAATTGAACCGCTGCTGTTATACTTGGCTCATCCAAACCCTCCTACTCACTAATCGCTACTGACACCGACACCTGTGTGAGGCTGTTCAGAGCAAAAAGCATGTGGAATAGTTGCCGTGAAATAGCTTAGCCTTTCAGAGCAAGGTTGTTATTTTACAGCACCACATCCCTGATAAAGCTGCAGAAATACTGGTGGACAATCAGGCAAATCCTACTATGTTTACTCAGGGACTGGAAATAAAAAACTATGTGCTGTATAGAGATGCTTTGCTGTCATTGGTTGGAGGCATAACCACAATGTCTTGAATTACACTGAGTAGCACCACTAAATGGTCAGAGGTGGCTCTGACATTTTTTTCTCTGTTGTGGCTGTAGAAATATTATCATACATTTTTAAATCCCTGGCATGATTACATGATCTGTTTCCATAGATTTCTTTGTGTAGCTTGCAACAATACTGTGGTCGTCTGTTTATTGTGGGAAGACTATTTATTGTGGTTTACAATGAAGGTTAACAAGTGCACTGTGTTGCTGTGTCATGTAAAGCGTTGTCAAGCTGTAATCCCAGTTTTCACTTTAGTCTCATCGAGTGCTCATCAACTTGACTACCTAAGTGAATTGTCACTTGGCTTCATTCTGAAACACTGCTCAGCACTTCAAGGTGCCAGAGACTGTAGAGAGAATCATGTCTTGCATAATCTGTCAAGTAGCTCAAAAGAAACACCCAGAGTGCAATATTAAAACAATGCTATATGGAGAAGTTGATAAATGAAAATATAGGTTAAGAGGGAACCAGTATGCTGTAAGATTGTTATTATATGTGTTCTGTACTGCACATACGTAGACATGGATTTTAGTTTAAGAGTTTTGTTAGTCAGGGAGCAGACAGAGGCCTTGGACAGTGAGTTAGATGTACAACCGCACAGAAAATCTGTCTAATTTACAGTACAAATGATGCATTTACCCTCTCCGCAGTTATAATGTGAAATGTGATTATAGTCACTGAGCAAATCTACTGTATTTTAGGATCCATTTGCAGACAGACAGAGACAGAGGAGGGGGTCCGAATCCAGCGCTGTGTGTTTGTGCTTTGTGTTGAGACAGTCAGCATTTAAAAAGAGCATTTTGATTCGCCTCCGATCGAGTAGGCTCTGTCTGCCTCCACTCATCCTGGGTGATTAGACTAAAACATTTGCTCGTCTTGACTGGAGATCGAAGCAGCTTCACATAACGCTGCTTGATTGAAGGTCGAAATATTTTGAATTCTAATGGAGACTGTGTACATGAATTGCCTGAAATAGACTGTAGAATTTCAGCACTTCCTCCCCCTCAGCCACCCCCGCCCCCCCACCCCTCACTCTTCTCCTCTGTGGCCGTTCTGAAAAGAACGGTTGGGAATGGCTGTGGCTGATGATCATAGAATTACTGGATGGTGATTCTAAACCCCTCAAAGAGGAGTTGCTATGGAGATCTCGTTCCAAACTGTGAAATGATTCCTCGTCTGAAAGGCTGGGGAGAAGAGGGCTGAACACATCATTGTTCAGGTGGTGGTTGGTTAGGAAATTGCCGGTGCCTGAGCAATCAGTGCTGCTGCTATAGTTAAGGTTCTAAAACGGTTTGTTCTCTGAATGATGTGGGGCAACAGTGATGTGCATATGATGGTTCCTTTCAATCAGACTCCACTCAGACTCATGGGGTTGGGAGAAATGACAGAAAGAGTGGGCTCGAATGAAAGAGGAATGAAAACCATTATTGTCTCTCAAAGCTAATGAAATCTAGGCCTGTCTTGATCTATCTATTCTTTGCCTGCATAAATCTTGAAGCTAGTTTGAAAGGTTATGTTCCCTATCAATGAATAACCATTTCCCACTGTTTCCCCCTTATAATATTATGTTAATTACGCATTACAGAAATTGACCTTGGTAATCTTTGTAGATTAATTTGTATTTTGATATTACATTTTATAAAGATATGTCTGTCAGCAATAGATGAGACATTCTGTAGTTATAAATGTTAAGATTTGTTATTGATTAGCATTATGCCAGTGATATACACACAGTTAAATTGAACTAATTTTCCCTTTATATCATGAGGCTTCAAAGTGGCATGATATCGATTCATTTTATTTTCAGTATCAAATACTTCTGTAACTACAGCACAAGTAAAGCCAGTCCACTATAGTTGTGTATTATCTGATTATTTTTCTGCTCTGAAGACACAGCTGAATTGCTTCTTCTGACAGACTCATAAAGTAGCTTTTATGGCTGTGAATACCAAGGCAATTGCAGCCGTGTATTTGTGTAGAACCTCTTAAAAGCGAGCCAAGGAATGCTAGTGATATAGATGTTCTCTTCCTTTTTTTACGTGTGAATACTTGCAAAGGAAGTCGACTGCCACTGAACACTGTAATTTGAGTGAATGATGTTGATCACATGATCTTCTAGTCATCATAAACAGACGATAGGAACATTTTCTGCATCAGTTATAAATTTGTTGTTTATCATTTTTTCCCACAAAATAGGAGTCATGTTTTTTTTTTTTTTTTTTTTTTGGTTTAACATTTTAGTGATATTTAAAATATTGGACGTGAAAGATTTAATAATTAATAATTTCTCATTACACTTACAGGACATATAGTATAGTATAGTATAAGCAAATTAATTATTAATTAAATCCAACCATTCCATAAACTGTTCAAGCAGGTCAGGTCTTTGTACATTTAATTATCTACTTATCAAACAGATTATTTTAACTCATTATATCTGATTCACAGTCTGTCCACATTACAGCACAGAAAAAATGTGTATACCTAAGAGCACTTTGTGAATGTTTGTTTGGGTGTGTTTACACACACCTGCATTAAAGTCTATGTGAATGCGTGAGTGAGGCGTGTAGGTGGGTGTGTTTACTTGCACTCACTTGCCAGCAGCTCTGTTTTCATTGAGAAATGATCCAGTCAGGCTGACTCTTTTAAACATATAGGCCTTTGTTAGGTCAAACAGTAAAGGCACACCTGCTAATGGGCTTTCCAAACATACAGTAACTAATACACAGCAGTAAAATGCTAAGTGCCAGATAGACTTGACTTCTGAAGCTCCCCCTACCTCCCCTACTTGCTTTTACAGTCTTACTTGTGGCTTGCTATGGCGCCGCAGCCTCATAAGAGCGGTCTTTACAGAGGTCTATTCAGTACTGATGTTAAAGGATTTTCCGTTTGCTTCGGTGTCCTCTTTGCCTGCTATCTCTGTATGTCCCGAGGAAATATAAGGTCCTTACATGTTGTAACTGATGTCTGGTAAGATGTATGATAAAAGGCTCAGAATTGTTGAAGTTTAAAAAATCTGAACAGTTATGTCACTTAATATACTAATAAGGAGTGAATGGTTCAAGCCCAGTAATTTTTCGGTGTTGTGTGCTTGTTACAGTTTCATTTCTCAGTATTTAAAAAAATAAAACCTTACATACATACATCTTGCTCCTGGTGCTGTAATAGATCTTCTGTTTGATACAAAGGACACAGAAGAAGGTTTGACACTTCGCACAATTGGGGAAGCAGCAGGAGCACCTTCAACAGCTATCTATAGCCGCATATACATGGCTCAGTAGCTGGCTCAACTTTCTTAGACACTACAACACAAGCACTGTCAAGGGAAGTGAGCCAAACACCATCCATTGTTCCCAAAAATGCAATGATGTACGCAAGTCATGTTAGGAATTGCTCCACTGGGCACTGCTCCAATTATCTTGCACAAAAATGTTGCCACATACAGCCTACCAGGAAAGCTAACATTTGTTATACATGTCTTTGCTATGTGCTAGAGCTTTGGAGGACAGTAATTAGAAAATCAGGCTATTTGATCCGTTCACAGTGCTGTTTGAGTGTCCTGCAGAGGGCAGGGAATTTAGAGGACAGATTCTTCAACTGAATCAGGTCAGCTACTGAGGATGCTAGCTGTTTCACCATTTTCTGTCACATATTGTGTTAATAATTCCATTGTATCTACATTATACTAGATCTGTAAAGTGGTCTTTGTCAGTGAAGTACTTTGAGACATGTATATTTCTAAGATTCTACAGGTTGTATAGTTAACGTTTTTTTCTAAGAGTGTAGTCAAGCCAACAGTACAACAATCACAATATTATAGGTGACCAATAAATATGAAATGTATATGAAGGAGTATAATTGGATGACCATTTCAATGTCCTTACTATTTCTCTTAGAAGAAGATGCCAGGCATATACACTGTGTATTCTTTTAAAAAATACTATCAGCACCGGAATAAAACTTTTTATGTTGCCAACCAGAAGTTCCATTAAGCTGCCATTAAGTTACTTTTGTTTTATCACTGGCTGACAGATGCACTTTTTTCAATCTAATTAGCATTTATAGCAAATAGAAAAACTTTTAGAGAACATTTAAAAGTTAATTACACTAAACTTTATCAAGTCAGTCACAAATGATTCTTGATATATTTCCAGCACAATTAACTAGAGATCAAGCCTTAAGCACACTATGGGCTTGGTCCAAAGCCATAATCAATTCTGAACTTGTTAGCAGGAGGTCATCATCATTGCAAGCTTGCTTTCACACAGATGAATTTCACTTGTCACTTCTGCTGTGTGTGTAATTTTTGCAAATGGGAAATTTTTTGCAAAAGGAACATCCCTTTATTGGGGTCCCTGGAGGACTAGTGGTTAGGCCTCGGAGCTCTTGCCACCACAGCCCGGGTTCAATTCCCGACCAGGGAACCAACCCCAGCCTCTTGAGCTACACATGACAGTGCACTTCCAGTGCCAGTCCCAAGCCCAGATAAAATTGGGGAGGGTTGCGTCAGGAAGGGCATCTGACATAAAAACTGTGCCAAATCAAATATACAGACCAATGATCCACTGTGGCGACCCCTAACAGGAGCAGCCAAACAAAGAACTACAGCAACATCACTTTATTGTTCTAATTAATGTTTATCTAATTTATATATTATTTAGTTAGTTTTTCAAGGTTTTAAGAGTTGTATTGTGTTTAAATATCAACTTTACTCCAAATATTGAGAAGACATGCCTTTCCCCACCATGTTAAGTTCAACCAATCATGGTATTTGCTTCCTGGCCCTGAAAGCAGATCACTTTCAGACATGGTTTGTTCCACAGCTGAGCTCACTTGAAGCAAACCCTAGACAACAGTTTTCAAGCTCAGTTCCTAGGACTGCACCCATGTTCAAAAACAGCTTTCATACTTGACCAAACACACCCAAATTGTGCAAAATGGCCTAGCGTCCAGGAAAAAGGTGCAAGTGTGAAAACATCCCAAGTCTGACGGCTTTTCACAGGCTTTCCAGATAACGCTCAGCTCTCCCCGAATTCTCCAGGATTCCATCCACCTGCATTGTAATTCCAGTTCTCAGGTAGAAAATGATGCAACATCAGACCAATGGGCAGGCCCAAATGAAACCGCTTTGCAGACTTATCACCTCGGTTCACACCACCCATAATTATTTCTTGTGTAACAGTACTGGTAGCCTTTGGCCAATGCTGACTGCAGGAAATATCATTCATGCGCAGAGTGTACCAAGGAAACTTATCATACCAGTGGGAGCAATGGGACTGCTCCCAATCTTTCATCAGCCATCTCTTGGTGCACTTTGTATAGAGCTCCCAGTGTCCGAGCATAATACTAGTCATGTTTTTACAAAGCCTACTTTATCCTATTTTTTAGTTAATCTCTCTCTCTCTCTCTCTCTCTCTCTCTCTCTCTCATGTTTGTGTCCTAGATGTGCTAGGAAAATGTCAGATGTGCTAGAAAAAAGTTCCACTTAGTTCCAAAAGTTCCAGCACCCTAAATAATTTCCTTGGTTTGGGGAAGGACAAATCCACTAAAAAAAGGTCCAGGTAAAAGGAATCTTTTTTTATAAAGTGTACATTTTCACTCTTTGTTATTCTAGTGTTGATTGTTTTAGACAGGGGATATTACTGTATCCCAAATCTGGACCACATTCATGGAATAAGTGGATGTCTTGTGAGTCTGGACAATGTGTCTTTCCTGGGCTGAGTATGCCCAGAGCACTTTGGTACAATTGTCGTTCAGTCTGGTGCTTTCCAGTCCAACTTTTCATGGATTTCTGTGTAAGGGAGTGACTGGTTCTGATGCATTGAGGAAGTCTGCATTTGAAGAGGTAGAAGGAACAAGCTGATCAACTCTAATATACTTTCCAGGAGAGAGAGAAAGTTTGTCTGTTGACTAGTAGAAATAAAATTAATATTAGTGTCCAATAATTGGCCAAGATTTTCAGTTTAGGTAATAAAATACATAACTTACTATTTCCATTTATTCCACCCATATATCTCTTCTCATACTTGCAGAGGAGAGATCCTGGAGGACTGGTTGTATTTCAGATCCCATGCTCAAGGCATATTTCCGTCATTGCCTACATCCCCGTAAAGGACCCCCTGCTTATAGGTGGATGAGCAAGAATGTTTGTGTCACAGATGTGTTCCCAGAAGTGTGCCTCCTGCCTCCTGTTTATTTCCTGTTTGTATCCATTTTGAAATCTTGATAATGTTTCTTCTAGTTTCAGTTCAGCTGTTCTTCCCTTTGCCTTATTTTTCTCCTGTTGCATTTCTAAATGCATATCATGCACATGCCCCATTAGGCTTCACCTTTGCTTGAACTATTAGTTGCAAAAAAATAATTACAATTCTCCACAAAAAAATGTCAATACAATGCAACTTGAATTCTGTGTTATTCTTTTTAATTCATACATCTCTTATCATCCAGGAGTGATTCACATAGCATTATTTTCACTTGAAGTTCAAGCATGAACAGGGCACACAATAGCACATTTTCATCCCAATCAGTGCCGAACCCGTAGCTGGCAAATTGGAGCAGCAAAACAATAATTCCCTTGATTAGCCCCTTTCTGTGTGCAGTAAGTGAACTGTTTATACTGTGGAGTACCTCAGAGAGACGAGAGCAACCAAAACAGGCTGATTAGGCACTGAATAATTGGATAACGTCATTTCAGCAGGACAACCAAGAGCCTGATGACAGCTCCTTCCACAGAGCTCAGCCTCGGATGACATAAATGGGGCACTTTGACATGAATTTCAGTGCTGTAGGTTGTATGTGTTTTTTATGCTGTATATGTGTTTTATTATTGATGTTGAAGGTCTTCTGTTTCATGATATCACAAGTGAGGAGCAGTTACATTGTTTGTGTGTGATCTGAGAGATATTTGAAGTAGGTGGAAAATGAAGAGATTTTCTTCCAAGACGTGACTCACTACTTGGGTACTACTTGTGGTTTCATGAATGAGCACTTTAATCCAAAATGAAATTTTGTCATAATGTTTTATAGTAGCATCATTATATGTCCGTGTTCATGAGTATGTGCGTGTGTTGGCATGCACGTGAAGGACATAAAGATTAGAGCTTCCTTTTTTTTTGGGTGGGGTGGGGTGGGGTGGTGGGGTGGTTGGGGTTGATTGAAATCCTGAATTATTTGTTTACACAATTGCATTTTCCCAGTATGGAAATCCAATGTCCAATACATTTCAATATGTATTTTTTGCATTTCAAAGGCCGCTGTGCTATATTTTTGTAAAAAGCTCAGGATCAACAAGTTTATATCAACTCTCCTCTGATTGTCTGTTGTCTTTAGTTATACAGCCATAGTATGAATCATCAAGAGTTTCTCAATGAAACATTGCTGAAACTTGTTTGCCAACATTATCATGGCTCCTGTGATGAATGATTGATATGTAGTATGTAGCAACTTCTACTGAAGTCGCAGTTAAACTGCCAGAAGGAAAGTATGGAACAGATGTGATGCAGGAAAAAGCACATGCCATACATACTGGCTCATGTCTTTCAACTCTGAAATGGTAATGTACATCTGAACATCTGTAGTAAGTGAAATATAATTTGTTAGTTTTACTGCAAAGCATTATATCAAAGCAATTTTTAAGTAACAAGTCTCAGTTACATTTTACTTTAGGTGATATTTAATGCTTAATGAGAGTAAAAGCTGAAAGGTTAGCCATCGTGGATATGGATGAACTGGATTCTGTACATTTCACAAAGGTGAGAGTGTGTTTCATAATGCAGTTGTCAGATAAATAGCTTACTGCCTTGTAGTGGAATTAGAGATGGTTCCTCTTCAGTAGCAAATTTGCTAGTTGACATTTGTTGAATTTGACTCTAATGTTTCTCTTAATATTATAAATAATTGTACTTTAATGAATCCTAGTTCACTTTAATTAAAATGAGCAAGTTATCAGATATGTTGATTCGATAGCTGATGTGTTATAAGTATACATTCAATGAGCTTTCCAGGCCAAAAGAGTTAGTTTGCTTCAGGACAACAGCAAAATTTTGCCTATCAACTAACTCATTAGTAGTGATGCAGCGTTCACAAACTTGAGCTCTTTGAGCTGGCTGACGTATATATTTCTTCTCTTCTCTTCTCTTCTCTTTTTTTTTTTTTTTTTTTTTACAGATGTAGGCAGTGCTATTACTCTTGCAGCTTAGTTTAATCAAAATTTTTCCATGGAAACTTATTTTCTAAATCTGAGCTGTTTGTTTTCATTGATTTCATTAACCAATATCAGCCATAAGAACAATCACTGATCAAAATATTACCAACAATTTTCTGGTTTAGAAAAGAAAGAAGAAAAGTGAGCCATTTGGGACCAGAGAGAGTCAACTCTTATTTCTGAGATGAGCCAAATGATCTGACTCACTGAAAGGAAGCAGAATTCCCATCATTACTCATTAGTCCCTACCCCAGACTCTGAGGTCTTTGACACTCACAAAATCAGTAACATAGGCAACTGTTTCCTTGCTGTTTGCTATTTGCACATGCAAACACATGTAGCTTTTGCTCACAGCTCTAGAGAATTAGATCTTAAGTGTTTAAGAGCTCCATTATCTAATCACTCCCCTGATTAGGACACTTTACAATTTACTCAGTTAATCCATTGCACAAAATTCAGATAGAGGTGATAAAACTGGTACAATTAAGTGACTTTGTGTTTTACATTGCAGGATGCATATGATTAATCATATCTGTATCAATTTGATTCAATTCTATTTTATTTGTATAGCACTTCAGCTTCACAGAAGTGACAGATAATTTTAATTTAAATTTATCAGAGGGGATGGTGGCAAGGATAAACTCCAAGAGGAAGAAACGTTGAGAGGAACCAGACTCAAAAAGGGAACCCATCCTCAATCTGGGTGACACCAGATAGTGTTATTATAAATCATCCTACTTCTATAACTGTATACTATAAAGCATCCATGCGACACATCCAAACATCCCAGTATACCAAAACACACTATGCCCATGAGCCCTCCAGATCTGCAGGGAAAAAAAAAATTATTCAGATCATGGACATATTTAAAGCAGAGACTTTGCCAATGCTGGTAATTATAACTTATTATATTTAAGCTGTTGAGGAAGCTTATTATGCAAGGTAGAAAAGAATTCTGCCAGTTGGACGTGAACATCATCTGGGCTGCTGATCCCTGTGTAGTGTAATTTTCAGAGCAGAACATTTATAAAGCATAGGACACAAGCAACTTTCCAATTAATTGACCCAATTTTCCTTTGCCATCCTTGGAAGAGCCATTATAATATTTAAACTTAGGTGAAGTTTGTTAGATGATCCCAAGTAGGCCAGAGTCAACATCAGTCTGGACTTACGGAGCAGAACT